TTCCTTTTTATGGAAATGCAAGCTCTGTTTCAGGCACTTAGAAGAAACTGGGTAATGTGAAGATAACGGAAGAGGAATATTTAATAGTTCCATTCTGAATCATGCTTGAAAATTGCAAAGTCTTAGGACCAAACCCTTCCCAAATGAGTCCTGTTGGTAAAGAGAAAAGGAGGTAGGACTAAGTTAAGTGTACAGTGAACATATTTTTTGTATATGTTAAAATAATGCATTGACTTTTAGTACTAATGAATGCTGAATATTATCAAATAACCAAATTATAAAAACAATAATTTTAATTTCAAGATTTAATACCAAAGAATTAACTAGTATCTACCTTATAATACTGAACTGAAAGGTGAAATTCAAGTTGGTGTATGGCATTCACTGGAATAGGACAGAGAAGGAATTTAGAAATAGGACTGTCCACTGCTGGAAGGACAGAAGGGAAAAGCAGAAAAACATGGGTAGGAAAGCCTTTCCTCATCTTTTCAGTGGAAATGGAGGGTCAAGAACAGTCACCCCAAAAGCTGGTGGGCCCAGGATGTTCCCAGAGGGTGAGGCATGAATGGAGAGTCAGACAGCTGTGTTCATCCCCAAGCCCCTGGCTGCCAGGGATGTGCATTAGACAGTCTTTGCCACTTGGTAGGCCAGCTCCTCTCCGCCCTGTGCTCTCTGCCTCTTCTACCCAGGAGAGCTGGAGTGCCCATCACAACTAGGGCCTCTCCATTTATCAGTGCTTCTTAAGGTCCGAGGAAGAAACCAGTTAAGAGGCTGAAAACACACTGGAGAACAAAATTGGGCATCTTGCGCCTCTACTTATTCTGACTGACTGAATGAATGAGATTGTTACCATTTATTCACTAAATGGACCATAACTAAACCACCTTCAGAGATACTGGAAATATGAGGGATGTCAAGGTTATGAAAATTCCTACTGAATGGTTGTAGATGATTATCCTGGGTTGTTGATAAAAGGGGTGACAACATTTTGTCTTCATGTGAAATACCCCAGGACTGCTTGTGAGCTGCACCTAGCAGCACGCTGGGAACATGGCAGTCCATGAGAGGACTTCATTTCCGAAATTATTGGTTCTTTTGCACTCCCTCTTCTCTAACGTTAATCCCTACTTGTTTCCCACTTTCTCCAAGCCTCTCTGGCTCAGTAGACCTTCAATAAGGGTTTCATAGGAGAGCAAATATGTAGCTGGGGCTTGGATTCATCAAGAATTGTTGAAGACCTATAAATAAACAACTCCGTCCAGCTCAGAAGTAGCTGAGCCAAATGAATGACTTTAGGGGCCAAAGCCAAGTCACTGGCCAATGACAGATATATTAATTATAAGGAGCCATTATTTCTTCCATATGAAGTGACAACTCTCCAGTAGCACAGTGGGATTTCTCTGAACTCTTTCTGAGAACAGTTTGTAACCAGAGCAACCAGCCATCAAGATTAGGCACCAATTAAGGCATATATTAAGGAGTGACTGCCCAAGACATAACTAAAAGTTATGCTTGGGCCCCACTGTTAATTTTCATTAATAAGTCTTACTGTTCTTTAAGTGCTATAACATTGCTAAAATAGTCTTAACAACTTGGGTGTTTTCATTTAATTGTATGTGTGAATCTGTCTGAAGAACATCCACTTAAAAAAAAATTTCTTGGCTCAATGAGGATACTTTTTCTATGGAAGTCTCTAGGCATCATTTTCCAGAACCTACTACATTTGGTTGTTTAAACCAACATTCCTGTTTAAACAACATCATATTTATAAAATCCAAAACCCCAATAAAGGAGGCCACCCCCTACAAATCCTGATAACACAATGCCTTTGGGAAGACTCAGAGAGATCAGGCCTCTCTCTTATTTCTTCCCCAAGCACCTTCTCTTTCCTACATTTTATAGAACATAAATAGTAATAGTCTTTTAGAAATGAAAAAGAATGTGCTATCTGACCAGAAACCATAAGGCTTGTTCATGTAGAAATAATTTTAGAGAGAATAGCACAGCCTCAAAAATCAATCTGGCTGCTGCCTTTCCTCAGGCAAAAATTAATTTTGCCCGCTGGCTGGCACTGGAGCACGAGCAGACCCTCCGCGGATGTTTTGCATGGCTGAGCACCAGACAGGACAGAAAAAGCAGTGTAAACTTCTTGCAAATTAACACCACTCCGATGACAACACACTTCTTATTCCTTTCCTCTGGGCCTAGATGTTTAGTGCTGGAAAAAAAAAATGAAAACCAGAAGAGGCTACTGTTTTAACTCTGAGAGGAGAACAAGGATTTAACTTTCGGGTTCAGGACAAATACACAAGCGCACACACACAGGGAGGGAGGAGAGAGGAAATGAGTAGGAATCTCCTTAAACCCTGCCAAGTGCTCTTCCAAGAACAGTTAGGACTTCCTCACAGTGGCCAGCGCCCGCTTCCTGGTATCAGAGCTGGCTGCGGCCATGGCCTGAGCTGCAGCCTTCTCATTCCCACAGCCCCAAGATCCTGGGTTCCAGCTGCCTCGGGAACCAAGAAGAAGAACACAAGCTGCTAGAGTGGAGTAGAGCAACGCAAACAAGGGGGCCTGATGTCTAGCCATGGAATTTCCTTAAAACTTTGAAAATAAATTTTGAGGTCCTCTGACAGAAAATCAGTTCTGAAACTACAATACTTCTTTCAAAAGTATACCAAAAATATATCTTCTTCTTTTAGTTTGACTGGAAATTATAGGACAGCAGTTAGACACCAACAGATTTGTGTAGTAGTTTCAGCAAATCACAGAGCCTGGCAAATATTAGAGCATCACCGTTTTATCAAATAATCCAGGAGCCCTCCTTACCTCAAGGCAAAGCAGTGTCTGCTTAAGGCACAGATCTAGCTACCTGGGGGTAGAGAATAATTCAAAGACAGCTGGCTGTTAGAGCCACTTGTAGTCCAAATCAAGAGGCAGAGAAGAAAAGGGCTTCTGGAGACAGG